CGCAGTGATAGAGCCCCAAACCTCCATTGAAGAGCTTATATGTGTTTTGGTGCCCTCTTTGTGAAGGTGTGAAGAAGGAGAAGAAGAAGAAGCAAGGAGAAGGGTTGTAGTGCAAAGATCCAAGGCCAAATCAGAGTTTATTGAGGTATTTTCGGAGTTCCATCTTATTATATGCTTTAAACTTCCATTAGGCTCTCCTAAGAGCTAGTTGTGCTTGTTTCAAGCCTTACACTTGCATGAACGTCTTATTAAGTCGATATATCTATGGATCTGAATGTTGGGGTGTTGTAGAGCCCAGATCTACTGTCTTTTTGGAGTTATATTGCATGATAACCATAGATCTACCCATTTTATGCATCTTTTAGCCTTATTTCCCTTATTCATGAGGTTGTGCACGTAAAGTTGGAAACTTTACGTGGTAAAACAGCTTATTGGACTCAGATCTATCAATTGTATGCATTGGATTCAAACAAAATCAAGTAAAAATCAGTTGCATGGCGGCGACTCGGCGAGTCGGAAGAACGACTCGACGAGTCGGGTCGCGAGTCCCGAGTCCTTCAGTTTTATCAGTGTCGAGTGGACGAGGTGAGTCAGGAAGTGGACTCAGCGAGTTGAGAGTAGACTCAGTGATGGAGGGACTCGACGAGTTGTTCATACAACTCGGCGAGTCCAAGGCAATCTTCTTGGGATCAAGAACAACTCGTCGAGTCTGTTCATACGACTCGGCGAGTCGGATGAAGATTGTCTGAGTTCTTGGATCAAGAGGGTACTCGTCGAGTCGATGCCAGACTCGACGAGTAGCAGTGAGTAAAGTGAAAAGTGAGAGTAGGACTCGGCGAGTTGGGTGGCCCAACTCGGCGAGTCAGCCCAAAGAGAGTTGACTTTGACCGAGGGTAAAAGAGTCATTTTACCCCAAGCGCAGTGTTTAGTATTTGATTGAGTGTGTTTATGGACTTGTAGCCGAGGAGATTCAGGAGCAGCCGCCGTTAGCTTTCCGAGCCACACACTCAGCAGCCAGCTTACGAGGTGAGTTTCCTTCCAGTAGGAACGGGTCTAAGGCCACAATGCCGGCCCGTTCAGTTAGCAGTAGTTTCCGGATTTAGGTCCGATGCAGTAGTTGGTATGTTCGATGCCTTCGTGGTTCGAACAGGATTTGTGTGCTATGTTTTATGTGTTAAGTACTATGTGTTCCGGGCCACGGCCCGATGTAGCATGTCGTATATGTGTTATGCTAGTTGATGTGTTATGCTATCCATGTTCAGTCAGACAGTTCCGGACTTGTCCGATGCAGTAGTTCCGGACTTCGGTCCGATGACAGGTCAGTCAGTTCCGGACTTCGGTCCGATGCAGTTAGTTCCGGACTTCGGTCCGATGCAGGGGACAAGGTCCCAGTCAGTTCCGGACTTCGGTCCGATGCAGTTAGTTCCGGACTTCGGTCCGATGCAGGGGACAAGGTCCCAGTCAGTTCCGGACTTCGGTCCGATGCAGTTAGTTCCGGACTTCGGTCCGATGCAGGGGACAAGGTCCCAGTCAGTTCCGGACTTCGGTCCGATGCAGTTTCCGGGCTTCGGCCCGATGCAGTGGGCAAGGCCCAATATGTGTTTATATGTTATTGATGGTATGTGGTAGTTTGGGGAGCTCACTAAGCTTCGTGCTTACAGTTTCAGTTTTGGTTTCAGGTACTTCCGCAAGCAAAGGGAAGAGCTCGGGGTGACAGCATCGCACACACCGCAGCATAGCTTTTATCCTGGGGATGTCTCTTGATGTTTTGGATTGATGTAGTATGATACAGTTTTCCGCACAATATTTTATTATGTTTTGGGGATACATCGCGTGTGTTTATGTTATGATACTTATATTATGGTTTAGATTATATGGAAAAACGAAAATTTTTGGGTCGTGTTTTTTGGGTCGTTTCATTGTCAGTCGTCATAAATCGAAAATTGGGAAACAAAAAATGAACAGAGAGAATGATTATAATCCATGTCTCAGTTCATACAATATCTTGTAGAATGGAGGAATATATGATCCCTTATGTAAAGGGCACGTTGCTGATAAGATCAGAGTTCGACAGTGGCTTTTGAAATCTACGATTTCTAATGAGGTTCTAAAGTCGTACTTGCAATAATAGTTATCCAAGTGGGAGACTGTTGGATTAGGTGTCTAAGCCGATAACTATTTGGGTATGTACTTGACCCGATTATGAGCATGGTCCTTTTGGGTTGCCTTCGCCATAGCAAGTAGTAGGATGAATTATGGAGAAAGAGTTTAATTATGGTTTTATTAATATATTATGATAATAATATATTAATTGAAAAATCATATTATTTAATTAGTATTTATTATAAATTAATTTAGTGATAAAAAGAGACTGATTAAATTAACGGGGACTGATTATGTAAATCGGTAATATTTATAGTTTAGGCTTATGGACCTTATTGGTATAGGGTGGGCGAAATCTCTTTGAGAGTCCATATAGATTTTGTCCAAGGCTTGCCAAATAAGAGTCCATATGTTGCTTAGGGCCTAAGCAACAGAATTCGAGTTTCCAAGTTGATAACTCTAGAAGCCTCAACTATAAAAGGAACCCTAAAGACTCCCAAAATCATCTCTATGAGTTCTAAGAGAGCCCTAGATGTTTTGAAGCCTTCTCCTCTTTCCCTTGTTCTTCCTTATTGTTAGTGGTGTTTGTGACTCCATTAGAGGTGCAACACTTGGAGCACTAGGCTTTCAGAAGTCAAGATCATGAAGGATTGTGATTTTATTGCTACATAACAATCAAGGCAATGTATCTAACCCTAATCATATGTGATTTTCTGAATTATATGCT